CGAGGGCCTGGGAGAGGCAGCCGGAGCCGCAGGATGAAGGGATGGGAAAAGAATGTAGCAGACCCCCGAAGCACGGTTTCCTGCCAGGCCAGACGGGATGCCTGTCCCAGGGGGCTGTTGGCTGATGCGTCTGGGATACAGCGGCCCAGCGGATTTGCTGAGCCGTGGGCGCCAAGGCAGGGGTGGCTGCTTCAGCCGCTGCCTCCGCGTGAAGAAGGGCGCCGCTCGGGTCCTGCGAGGGCACCATTCTTGAGGCGTCTGCACGATGTTGACTCATGGGGGTCTACCGTGGGTTCTCTCTGAAAACCCCAGAACAGTTTCCTCGAAAGAGCAGCCACACTGAGACACCAGAGGCAGGGAGGCATTTGGTATTATTCTGTGCTCGAAGGTCAGGGTTCTAGGCTGTCGTGGGCCCACTCGTGGACTTCCACTTCGGTGGAAACTCGGGGCCTCTTTACTACATTGCCAGGCCTCAAGGCCTGGTGTAAGGTTGAGTTTGTCTGTTGCTGTGTGGAGTTGCTGGAGCGCCACGGGCTTTGCGTCCAGGCAGTGGTGTCCTGGTGATGGCTGCTTGGAGTGTGGTTCGGACGTCCCCAGGTGGGTTTGGGTACCGACGGAGCCTGGAGGCTGGTTGGAAGGCGTGGGTGGCCGGACGTCCGAGGGGCTGTTGGGTCCACGAGCCTGGATGGCTGGGCTTGGAGGGTGGTTCGAGGGCGTCAGGGCCGGGGGGGTTAGGGTTACCACTGAGCCTGGATGGCTGGTGTGGAGGCGTGGTTCCGGACGTCCAGGCCGGTTTGTTACACGGTCCTGGTGCTGGCTTGGAGGCGTGTTGGGGACGTCCAGGCTGGGTTGGGGTACCACGGAGCCTGGATGCTGGTTGGGAGGTTGTGGTTTCTCTTGGGGAGCGTCGGGCCAGGGTTGGGGTACCACGAGGCCTGGATGCTTGGCTTGGAAGCGTGGTTCTGGGGGACGTCCAGGGCCAGGATTGGGGTACCACGGGCCTGGATGCTGGCTTGGAGGCGTGGTTCCGGGGGATGTCCAGGGCCAGGGTTGGGGTACCATGGGCCCGGATGCTGTTAAGTGGGGAGGAAGAACTTAAGTTCAGAAGGAATGGCACTTCTATATGGGGGTTTTTTAGTATCTGGTCCCAGAAAGTGTGTTACATTTTCTCCTTCTCCTTCCAGATAATTCCTGAAGATGGCAGAAGCTCACCAAGCTGTAGCCTTTCAGTTCACGGTCACTCCGGATGGGATCGACCTGCGGCTGAGCCATGAAGCTCTTAGGCAAATCTATCTCTCTGGACTTCATTCCTGGAAGAAGAAGTTCATCCGATTCAAGGTTTGCTGAGATGAGTTGAAATCTACACAGTATGCCTTTTAATGTCTAAGAACGGGGCTCTTGCAGCGATTGAGGTCTACGTGTTTCAGACTGGCGATTGCATATCACTTACCTATTTCCACGGTACTTAAGGCTTGGGGACACCGTTACACGGACTTTAGCTCACTGGATGCTTGGAGCAGCTCCATTAGGCAGGTAGAGGGAGTTGGCATGCTCTAAAGCAGGCCGGGAAATCGAGGCTCCAAGGGCCAGCGACCTACTTAATAGAAGGCAGAGTAAAGGATCACGAGGTCAGGAGATCGAGACTATCCTGGCTAACACGGTGAAACCCCGTCTCTACTAAAAATACAAAAAATTAGCCGGGCATGGTAGCGGGTGCCTGAGGCGGGAGAATGGCGTGAACCCAGGGGGCGGAGCTTGCAGTGAGCCGAGATCGCGCCACTGCACTGCAGCCTGGGAGACACAGCGAGATTCCGTCTCAAAAAAAAAAAAAAAAAAGACTAGAATTCACATCTTCTGTCTGAGTCAGAATCCTTTGCACCTTGTTCAAAAAGGACTTTTTCTGGGCCAGGTGCAGTGGCTCACACCTGTAATCCCTGCACTTTGGGAAGCTGAGGTGGGCGGATCGCTTGAGCTCAGGAGTTTAAGACCAGCCTGGGTGACACGACAAAACCCCATCTCTACAAAAAATACAAAAATTAGGCAGGTGCGTTGGCATGCATCTGTAGTCCCAGCTACTCAGGAGGCTGAGATGGGAGGATCGCTTGAACCTGAGAGGCAGAGACTGCAGTGAACCATGATTGAGCCACCATACTCCAGCCTGGGCAACAGAGCGAGACTTTGTCTCAAAAAAAAAATTTTTTTTTTCCAAACTTCAGCAAGTAGATGTAATAATTACTTCGTTGATAAAACATTCACATACTAGAAACTCTCCACATAAGGGCCAGGCATGATGGCTCACGCCTGCAATCCCAGCACTTTGGGAGGCCAAGGTGGGTGGATCACAAGGTCAGGAGATTGAGACCATCCTGGCTAACACGGTGAAACCCCGTCTCTACTAAAAAACACAAAAAATTAGCCGGGCGTGGTGGCAGACGCCTGTAGTCTCAGTTACTTGGGAGGCTGAGGCAGGAGAATGGCCTGAACCTGGGATGTGGAGCTTGCAGTGAACCGAGTTTGCGCCACTGCACTCCAGCCTGGGTGACAGAGCCAGACTCCATCTCAAAAAAAAAAAAAAAAAGAAACTCTCCACATAAGTTCAAATACAGTCGAGTCGACATGTTCTCAATTCTGTTTATCTAAAGAAGTGGAACTCTGTTCTTTTCTAAGCAAGTATCTTGTTTTTCCATGTATTTTCGTTTATTTTAAACATCATAGAAGGAATAAGTGCATGTTTGAAAACACGCAAACTAGATGAAAGTTCATCAAGTCGAAAGTGGACGCCCCCGCCGACCCCCACCAGCCCCAGCGGGAGCTCAGTTCAGTTTGTGGACTTCCCAGTGCTCCGTCTCTGAGGGCAGCACTGAAGTGGGCCACTGAGAAAGCCCTAAGCTCAAGAGTGGGTGGCAGCAGGGACGGCAGGGAGGTGGGCGAGCCCCTGGGGGCCAGCACAGCTGCACAGGTGTCCCTGGGGCTCAGCCTGTGGATTCTTGGGCCCAGATCAATAACCCACCGAGGCGACATCCGAGATGTCACTGAGGCACTAGCTCGGCTCGCCAAGGGCTGCTCTTTTTCACCTTGGAATCTGGGAAAACAGGTGCAGTGGCTCACACCTGTAATCCCTGCACTTTGGGAAGCTGAGGTGGGAGGCGTGGTTCTGGGGGATGTCCAGGGCCAGGGTTGGGGTACCACGAGCCTGGATGCTGGCTTGGAGGCGTGGTTCTGGGGG